TGCATAGGAAAAACTCCATCCAGTAATACTACTATTCCATTTCCTATGATCACGTACTCTATCTATCTCTTACGATATGACTATTCTGTACTTACTTACTCACACCACTAATTCTTTATCGATATCATTGCTATATATCAAAAAGAAAAGGTTTACAATATCGACATGATTGAACGGATAAGATATTACCCACAAAAGGGCTTTCGTTTTTTGAGGGATTTAATCATTTTGGGAAGAGATTTTCTAAATTTTCTAAATTTTTGAAAGCTCTTGAGAAGGTTTACAACGATCTACTCAATACATATATCAATTTACTTCTGTTTTTTCGTTCGCATAGTACGTTACATAATACAGCAATGGAACCCTTGAAACCAATTAAAAAGTTCAAGTAATATACTCGACTCAAACCTTGCCAAGCAATCTACCGCTCTTATTAGTGTGATCCAACCAGCTTTCCCCTAAATCTAGATTTTTACTACCTCACTTAGCTCCCCCTCTTTGACACGTACCTCGGCACCATTCAATATTCGCCTTGACATTCCAAATTATTCAACTGCCGAAACGTCTAGATTCTTTGGGAGCTTATTACTTTATTCTGTTAATTAAATTCGAAAATAAATGGGTCGCTTCTCGAACTCATTATGCTTATTCAAAACTCTAAGTTAATGACCAATAAGCTTTGAGATCGTCATACATATATGAAAAAGAAATTTATATGGAAATTTACATTGAATATCTTCTCGTCGATGTCATTGAAGATGTCACTACAGGGTGTCGTAAAGTCAGAGTTAACGGTAGAGCAAGGTCAATAAAACGATACAAATTTACATACAACATGAGCACCACCAAACATGGTCATGACTTTCTGTACGATTCAGAATCTTCTAAAATCTTACATGTGATAATTTCATTCTTCATTAAAATCACCGATCATTCGTAATTGTCGACAGGCTGAAATATGGCCGCATGACTATATCAAGCCTATTATGAAGGCCTCAAAATCATTATCCAAGTGATATCAATCCTGGTCAGGGATATCACTGATCAGAAGACTCGATATTATTTTCGAAAAGACCTTATCATGAGAGCAAAATATAGGGACTAAAACAAAGTGCTTTACTACATTATTACTGCAGATGTACAACGCAACAACAAATTCTAAAGAATTTGAATATAGAAACAAGAAAAGAAGCATAAAGGTACATACACACTGTCATACAACGATCACTTCCAGGAGGATTCAACTATACAAAACTAGTTTCTGCGTCCATCACACACTTGTCCAGCTAGACGGCATCATTGAATTCACCTCTACAACCATCGAAATTCATCCTGCAGATCTCTTTATTGGCCATTCTACAACAGACTCCTCCTCCTCCTCCTGCAAAGTCATCAAACTCAGTCAACGAAGTTCATAAAACCAAACAATAGGACCAAAACAGTAGGCATGACAGGGGCAGATTGCCACGAACACTGCCAGGAATAGATCCTCGAATTCAACTTTCTCCTCCTCTAACCTCGATACCTTCAACTTCTTCAATTCAGCTTTCTGCTGCGCCGCAGACATCGTATCTACACTTCAATAGAATCCACACATCTCAATTCTACGATTCTACAAATCTAAATTCTACAATTCAATGGTCGTCAGCGAGCAAAGTATAGCATTCGGGATTCAATTATATATTGGGAGTGATTCATAATTCAGGAGTTCGATTTCATTAGGGTAAGTAGGAGCTTTCAAACTTTACACACATTCTAGTATTATCTGAGACTTCTTGGTGTCGATATCGTGAATACAGTTATAAAACTATAATAGGTATATAGATCTTGAACTTTGAACATTTCTAATCAGGATATAGACAATGGCAATACATACATTGCCGTTGAGTCTACTACTATGAAGACATTATACTCACTATCAAGGCGAAGCCAATAGCAATTGTGTTCTCCCTGTACATATACTCCCACATTTGCCAACTCTTTCTTGTAGACTATCAACCTGCTGCAGATAATGCAATCTTCCTATGCATTCTCGCTCTTCTCATCCATAAGCTTCTTGAATATGCGGGTGGTGCATCGTAGCGTTGGTATACTTTGTGAGAATTACATGATCATCTCCAAAAAGTACAATCTTTCTGCGAGTACCCGCAGGTATCTCAAGACAGCATAACATGATTGAACTCAAAACGAGGTCTCTTTCACAACTATTTCCGTATGAAAACTTTGTACAAGCTCGAAAATGTCGTTGATTCCTGTTGGTTTGAAAAGAATAAGAATGATGCAGGACCTACGATGTAAGTTCTAGTTGTCAAATGGTATTATAGTTGGAGAGCTAGCTATGTATAGAATAATCAATTCTTAGATAGGCCTTGTTGTAGGACTAGCCCCTTGGTTGTAAACTATGAATGACTTAAGGCCATTCATTCACTCACTCTTGGTTCACACAGTTTCTAAGACTCATGAGGAGGAATTACCAAAAAATATATACATGTGTAGCAGTTGAAATTTGAGAAGAAGGAGCAGACTTGTTTGTGTTAGGATAATCCGATAAGATAGGTTGAAATAGGATATGATTTTAGACCTGAAAAGAACCTATACCAGTAATAAGTATGCAGACTAATGGAACGCTGCCAAAACGGACTTGGAATTATCTCATGAAATGTAGATTTGAATATCTTGGTAATTATTATGACGATTCATTAGAGATTGAATAATGAGAAGAGGTTTGTCTGATATCAAATTATTGAAGAATGCATTTGTTAAAAATTTCAAAAGTTGAGAACAATCTCATCAGCCTATACACCCACTAGTGGTATTGAGGCGTTTCTGACTCATCAAGAATAATCCTCAAACCCACTCACTGCAGATTCAAGAAACAAAAGCAACACCTGGTCTATCACGACTGTCTTCCTTTGCACTCACTTCTGTAATGTCGCGATTGAGATTATCTATATACTCGTTGATAGATAGGTCATATCTAGCTACGTCTATTGTAGTGATCAAAAACTGTTCTAGTGTCTAGTGATGCAAGAGGCTGCCAAGTAGCACCTCAACCTCTCACCACAGATCAACAACGCGATTCTGTATAAAAGCAAGAAGGTTGATCACTACGCGCTGTGTCATACTGGTATTTTGTTTTCTCAGAGACCATAGAATGTACGAACCTTCCATCCCAATTGTCAAGCACGCGCACGTGTTATCAATGCAATTTGATAGTTTAAGGGGAAAGCACGGAGATTACAGATCTTAGAATTTGCACAATTGTGTAATGGCCATCGACTTTCGAATGTCAGCTCTTGAAATGTTTACAAAGATTGATTAGCCCATTGAAGTAGGAGATATAATTATAATCCTATTTGTATTTCTTCATTGAAATTCCTGTATCGAGGTCGGAGGGCCGAGATTGGCCCCAACCAACACGGTGACACCTTGAATTGAATGGAAGTACAATGATCTATATTACATTCTAGGAACTAGATAATAAGAAATATGTAGTGCCTGTAGTTTTAGTGAAATCACGGGATTACAAAGGTCACTACAGTTTATAATCGCCTTCGATTCTCCGTGGAATTGATTTCGCTGAGCCATGTTGGACATGAGCCAAGATTATGTTTTCTTCCTGTAGTGGCTTCTATGCTCTCTCATCTCCAGTATTATGCTCTCAAGATATGTAACAAAAGCATCATCGCTGTGATACTAGGATATTGACGCCTGTAATTCCTGCTAAGCCCAGGAATAAAGATTTATAGACAATGTCAATCGCAATATATCTTGTATGAAGGCATTCTTAGTATTTATATTCACCGATTATCTGTGAAGTTTCACTTTTTGGAAGTCTCATAACATGATGCCGACGTATCGATATTCTCTACAAAAGCATGAGACTAGCCATTCATCGCTCGCTATCAGATTCAATGCATCGTGAAATGCTTCTAGTTAGAATGATTGTCAATAGGTGCAACATGCTGGGCACTTAATCTATTCTACTGTTTCCAAGTATTATAAGAATTAGAAATAAATATTGAATTTACGTTACGAAGACTACCTTCCCGAAATTTGATAGCAGATTCAATGTTGTCCATCCTAATGTTGAAGGGGTACACATTTTGTGGGACCTACTTGCACACTCATTGATTTTCTGTCTTATTCCGAGATCTTGTCGTGTATGTTGTCTGTGCCATTCTAGTAAATATTTTACTAATGGTATCAAATGAGTATCTATGAGCAGCTGAGTATCGTGGGGATGTTTCGCAAAAACAAAGTGACCAAAGATAACTGCAATATTTTTTCGGTCAGTACCAGGTGAACGGCCGAATCTCTTGCTGGGCGATTTTGGCAGAAATAAGGGTCCAAAAATGCAGATGATCAAAAGAGGAATGCTGGGTACCATTTGTGTAATGAAGAGAATGATGAAGATGCGGGAATGAGTATTGGGGGCTAAGCCCCCTTTTTTACTAGGTAATATCCGGCCGCTTACAAAACGATATGTGACAAGTGATTTCAACATTCTGACATTGACTAGAGGTCAATTCCTACAGCTTTTCCACTTTCACGAAAACGACAATTCTTAATTAGCCGAGAAGTTGATCTTTTTGGTGGAGTGGGTATTCAAGGCTTTACTCCTCGTCCTAAACAATAGTTTTGAGGTGATGATATGAGAGAATTGTGAGCCACAAGTCGTGGAATTGAATTGTTGGTTGAGATTGGCGAGGAATTATACACAATGCTGCGCGGCGTCACAATGTCAAGCTGATATATCCTGTGACGCGATAATTCAGATGAATATGCTCTCGAGATGACCGAGAAACGGCTGCGCAAGTCTTCTCTAGCAGCTTCCGCTTCTACCAGTTCTTACTCGGAATTACACGAACACTTGAAGAGATATCTTGTATAAAGGAAATGGGATTCCCACCTTATAGAAAATCAGAATTAGTCTCAATATCCAGAAGTCTCAAGCGAACAATCAGCAAACATCAGCAAGCGACTCAGCAATCTTCGCCATGTACTTCAACTTCAATTCCATTGCGTGCTCAATCTTGGCACTCCTCACCTTCCAAGCTGCAGCTGTACCTATCAGCGTCAACATCTTGACTCAAGGAGCTTCTGTAGAATCTTCAACTGGGGCTGTCCGCACTTACTACCAAGCCGCCAACGGCTCCGTTATAGAGATCATTCCGAATTTTCCTGCTACTTTGGGCTACACTAGTAGCGTGTTAATTCCCGCAGGTGTCGCGAAGACTAATACCCCTCTTGCTGCTATATCCTGGGGATCTTTCGACGAGGTAACTCTTTCTCATTCTTATTCCTCCTTTTTCTGCTCCCCGTTCCCTCTTCTTCCTTGCATCTCACACACGTCAATCGACAACTAACAACTAACAACACGCTTAGATTCACTTGTACTACATCGGTGTCGGATTCAGCAACACGCACTTGCGGGAAAAGATCTGGAAAGCCGGTGTTGGATGGGCAGATGGGGGACTCAATTCACTTAGCTACACCACGCAGACGAGCACGAGTTTCTTGACGGCGTATCACGATGGAACTACGGTGGCAGGAAGCACATGGCGCGTGGCGTTTGTGTGTTCGACTCTGAACTTGCCGGTGGCGGGCAGTCTTTGCGAAGCATCAAAGACTTCGTTACTTCCCTGGACCGTCGCTGCTTATACTTAGCTCGATGGAATTCTAACTTCCCACCGAGATTGAGATTTGAAACATGGATTATGGTGGTTGATGGGTGAAGGAAAACAAATCCTGCTCAGCTTCCACGTCAGGTCTGATTTCGGCTTCGACGCTTGAGCTGTGGAATTACGGGGCTTTTATTTACTCCTTTGAGTTCAATTCACGTGCTCTTTATTTCTTTCGTCGGGTCGCAGAAGCTTACATTCATTTCTTAATTTGCTTCAGACGTGAGCCGGGATGTTTTCTTCCTCGAGTCTTGAAGAAACGTACTGGGCGATATTCTCATCAACTATATGACGAAGGAATGAATCATTCCACTTCCATGAGCTACAACCATTGAGACCCATTAATCAACAAACCCTTCTATCTTTCCACGCAAACCTCCTTACCCAAATTCCAATCTCGCCATCCAATCAAGATCAGTTTTGTAATTAGTATCCTCCTTATTTTGAACACGTCCCACTTCAATAATACATATCAACTATTTATTTTTGGATACATTTCAATAAGATTGAATACTACTAGCCCCGTACCAAACCATCTCTAGAATGTAAATAGTTCCGAATTTCCAATCCTTCATTTCCAATCCGACTATTCATCAAAAGCAATCTCATCCTCAAAGACATTCACTTTCAAGCTTAATATCTATATTTGAAGTTTTAATTATACAAATTCCTATACTTTAGTAAATTCTCGCTAATGGGTCTATATTCAAGATTGATTCATAGTTGTGGTTGTAGATATTCAGAGCTATGATTATATATAATCTTAATACTGTCTGGCTACAATATCCCCATGACTTACTACTAGGTACTTACAAGTTACAAGTTTAAAAGTCGCAACGGCAAATAGAATCCAGAAACTTCCTCACACTCCCTCCTATTCCCATTTCCAGATAACATCACACTCCCTCACACTCCCTCCCCCCTCATTTCCCATCCCCCAATATCCCATGGCCATCCCCGATGTTCCACACCTCCCCCCATTCTTCGCCTATTCTCCCTCGCCCATTCAAATTCTACTTTTTATCATAAACTATCTCTCTTTACTCTTTCTTCTAATCATAATCTACAATAAGTATTCCGACTTCTCAACTTCTCGACTTCTCAATCTACAATCTACAATCTACAATCTACAATCTACAATCTACAATCTACAATCTACAATCTACAATCTACAATCTAGACAAATCACCGCTTTTTATTCTTCATCTTTCATGTATAGAAGTACTACAATAGTGATATGCTAATAAAATTATGATGTTGAGTATATTCAATCCAATCTCATCCCATCCAATCTCATCCCACATCTCCATCCCCCTCAATACTCAGACTCCTGTTCCCATCAACACTCAAACCCCAACACCATATTCCTCACCCACCACTCCTCCCCCTCCTCCCTCATCCACAAACCCCATCCACAATCCAACAAATGCTATACAATTATATCAAAATTATATCATATCAAGCTATTCCACTCCAAAATTCGATCAAGGGCGAGGGGGTATGATATGCAGGGGAAATTCAAAGCATTCTTTACGATGTAGGTAAACAAAGTCAAAAAATCAAAAGGTCAGAAAGATGGAATATTCCAGACATAAAAAAAGAAGCAAAGGTCAAAATCTAATATTATACATCATACGTATTCAACAATTCTAATTTCAATAATATAAAGATTAATTGTTCATTTATATACCGCTGCGTAAATTCATCTATATGTATGTATATCTTTCCTCCTATATAGCATTCCGAAAATTGAGCTCTTGGGTCACCTGCCCTTTGAGCCTGAATACGAGCATACAATTTCCTTGAATTCCCACTTCGAACTCCATACATTGGAACATTAGAAACTCTTCGATACCTGATCCAAGATAGGTTTCATAACAACGACGAATCATTCATGACAAATTCAAAGACCTTGCTCCTTACAAGCATCTTACTTCTTCATATCCAAACCTACCTGCCAGTCCAAAACCCCCACATTCCCCCTTCTCCCGTCCAACAACCCACTACCTCCTATCCAACCTTTCATGCAAAACATTTTGTTTCATCAGACTCCCCACCCCAGCCATTAAGATCGCAAAACCTAGTGCCGTCAAGAATACACCCCTAAAAGCATCCATAAAGCTTTCCGTTACACCCTCTTTCCAGCCCTCAGGGAGTTTGTTCAATTCATCGAAAGAATCTCGAATTCTCCCAATGATCTCTTCCGCATTCGGTTTATCTCCGAATTTCTCCCACAGATCCGACTTGAGTATATTTTGATACACTGCACTTGCAATGGTAATACCAATTGTTGAGCCTGTGGAACGGAACGCATATGAAGCTGATGTGATAACCGAGTGATGATCATGCGATACTGCTGAGATAATAGCTAGAAGTGTAGTTGTGAGAGTTGCACCGTATCCAATTCCTGTCAAGGAGAGATATAGATATATTGGCCAATCCGGACTGTTAGAATCGAGAGTTGCTAGAAGACCGGTTCCAATAACAAGCATTGCAAGTGTTATCAAACTAATTGATTTATATTTTCCAGTTCGATTCATGATGATTCCGGAACCAAGAGATCCGACAGAAGCTCCGATTGATTGCGGAATAAGACGCATACCAGAGGCGGTGGTAGATTCACCCCGGACTTGATAATATAAAGGAACGTAAAAGATAATCATAAAGACGACCATTGTAACGAACCAGTTTGTAAGACAAGCGGCGAGAACAGTACGGTTTGCGAGGAGGCGAACTGGGATAACAGGTTCCGAGGCGATGTAAAGTTCGATGTAGATAAATCCAAGAAGCGAAACGAGAGAAAGGGGGAGCGAAACATAGACGAGCGGATGGTTCCACGGTACGATATTACCACCAGAATTGAGTCCTAGCAGGAGAAGAACAAGAGTAAGAACCAGCGCGAAAGAACCCATAAAATCCACTCTCGATAACTTCGATTTCTCGCTCTTCTTGGGAGGAATATCAACCAGACAAGCGACCAGAATTCCTGAAACGATAATAAAAGGAACTTGAGCCAAAAAGGCCATTCGCCAGCCCCAAGTATCGTTTACCCAACCTCCAAAAACCCCTCCCAGGCCGGCTCCCGTTCCATAACATATATTTCCGATTCCCTGCACCACACCTCTCTTCCTCAACGGAACCAAATCACTTCCTACAAAAGTACTTATAGCCATCAATCCACCGCCTCCACATCCTGCCACCACTCTCCCAAATATCATCACCCATTCGTTTTTCGCCAATCCGCATATCAAATTTCCTGCGGCAAATAATACATTGCTCACAATCAATCCAGTTCTCCGACTAAAGATATCTGTGAGGCGACCAGAAAGCGGTTGACAAGCTGCATTTGCGATGAGATATGCAGAGGCGAGCCAGGAAAGAAGAGAGAGGGAGTTAAAGGATGTGGAGATGCTGGCGGAGAGGGTAGCGATGATTGTTGAATCTAGAGCACCGAGGAAGACACCCACCCAGATTGCTCCAAGAGTTACTATTAAACGTTTGGTGCTTTGTTCATTGGGGATGATTGTCGCTTCAGATGTGGAAGGGTCTTGGATTGCAGATTCAGATGGAGGTGATTGGGAGGGTAAAGTCGTGGTGTCTGCGAGGAGGGGTGTTTCTTCATCCAAGTGGTTGGATGAAGACATTTTGCGTGGGTGAAAAGTCGTGTATCGTTGATTTCTTGGTTATGTATCTATTGATGTATCATTGCAGCATGAAAATCGGATGAGAAAAGAGAAAGACAGTATATGGAAATATATGTTACCAAAAATTATATAGATACAGTAGAAAGGAAGGAAAAAAGGTTAATAATGTTGTGTGAATAATATTCCGAGATGTCTTATCACATATCACGCAAACAATCAATCAATCGATTACTCACCGACACCTTAACAAGTTAAGTTCATTGAGGATCTGATTTGAAAGTTGATTGAACCTCTTTCATAAAATACCCAGTTGGTGATGATAACCATTTGGAGGAAGTGCTGGATATGTGGATAATGGAAGATACTAGATAGATAGAAGAAGTCCTTTGTCCTTGTCATGAGTTTTGTTGTAAGAGGCATTTTCCGGGGAATTTCAGGTGATCCACGCCACGGGTACGGAGGACTTACTGATATGACAAAATGCTTGAATTCGGATACCGGTACGGGTATACGAAGTGACAATAGGTGATTGTCTATATAAATCAAGTCGACTCTATGTATAAGATATATATGAAATATAGGAATTATAGGGAATATAGGAAATATACGAATTATATAAATTAACTAACGTGGTTTATTATCGAGTGGGTTACTTTTCTCTTAATTCACACCTTTAAATCTATATTATTCAATAATCATTAAATCAATTAATTGAAATTATTAAGATTCTAATAATCTAGGATTTATTATATTATTTTGATAAGTTCTTGTATTATATCCAGTCTTTTTATATTTATTATAGTATTGATTAGAAAATACTTCCCTATTAGAATTCCTTTCTTTTTGATATTCATCGTATTGAATCTGAATATCAATCTTTTGTTGAGATAATATATTAAAAGTCTCTTATTTAATAAATACTTTCTTTTAATACAATTAAGTTTTTTTTGTACATCAATGTTTACTTAATACCTTATTTGCTATTCAAAATATACAAATCTTTATATTTAAAAGTATATTTTTATAAATTAATCTTTCTATACCTTTAGTTAAAACTAATACAATTTCGAATATAAATATAAAAAAACTTAATTAATAACGAGTTATTCGAGATTTAATTAATATTGATTGAAAAAGAGTTTTAGTTGAATTATAAAGAGTTTAAAAGATTTATTGATTTAAATCAAAAAGAGAAAAGTAGATATACAAATTCAAATATCTAATTTTGAAAATATAGTTTCAGAATTAAATAAAATTAAACCTATTTCTCGAAATCTTGATTTTATATTCTGAGAAATAATTGATTCTTTATATATAATTTTAAAAGCTATAAAGAATTCAATCTTCGAAATATAATTAATATATATCTTAATAAATCTATTAATTTGATTACCATATAAATATTTCAGATTGCTAAAATAATCTATATCAAGTAATTAAATTAAATAATTTGAATATAATAATAGATTTAAGTATATAATATTATTCTCTTTACAATATACTTAAAAAGCTTTTGATTTATAATTTTAATATCTATTTAATACCAATATTCGATACCTACTTTTTCTTTAGTTTTTAATATATTTATCAAAATGTTTCAATTATTTTAAATCTGTTTTATTATTTGTTTATTTATTAAATATAAATTTAATAGCCCAATCTATAAGAAAATCAATTTTAGTATATCAATTGAAAAGATAAATCTATCCTTGAATTATTAGAAATAAGGATATAATTTTATTCTCTTTATTATTATATATAATTATTATAATTTAATCTTTATTACTTAATTATATTACCTTACTTTTATTATTTTATTCAATATTAATTACAATTATTTCAGAGTATATTATACCTATTATAAAGCCTATTTTATTAAAATTATAGAAATCACTATTCAAAATATTGTATTTCGCTTATATATTTGTAATCAATTAAAACTATTCTTTAATAAACTTAGAATTTTTATAGAAAATTTTTTGAAAGTTATAAATATAATTAAAACATATTTTTAATTCGATTCGACATTTTATGAATCAATACACCTAAAGCTTCCCAATACACTTTACACCCCTTAATTCAAGAATATAATTTATTATATCTTCTCCATTTCTTAATTTAAATAGAAAATCTTTTGAATTTATATTAAGAATATATTAAATAATCATTTTTTCTTTTAATTCTATAATATTATAATAATTTATCTAAGTTTTTATATAAAATAATAAATCATCTATTTTGTATTAAAAAGTTATATAAAAGATATTATAAAATTTAAAAGCTTTTCAAATATTTAGTTTTTTATTTTTATAAATAATTTTAATAACAAAAAAGATTCGGACTTTTTAATTAATTGATTTTATAATAATTAATTAATAAATCGCATATAGAAATTGAAAATGTGAATTGAGGGAAAAATGACCCACTCGATAATATAGCCCACTCAATAATAAACCACGTTATATGAATAATATGAATTACATAAGATGTTGATTGATACCTAACTAGATAACTATAATTATCAACACAATAGTGGTAAAACCCATGGTTTGAAATAAATTGATTGTGTATTCAAATTCATTATGGTCGTATATTTCATAGGTAGGCGGTGGGCACCCAATCATTCATACCTCACTCATATCTTATTCATATTTCACTCATACCTTATTTATACCTCACTTATATCTTATTCATATTTTATTCATACCTTATTCATACCTCACTCATCCTTCACTCATCCTTCACCTTACGCAGTCTTCACAACCCAAGTTTCAGCCTTCTCTCTCAGCCCAAGCTTCATTGGTTGCCCAGCCACAAATATTGATGACCTCGATTGATGTGACTGCGGTTACTTGAAATAAACATTCCTCTCCAATACTCTACCTCCCACCTTCCTGGCTATGGAATCCACTTGATTCGTCAAAACCCCATCGATACCACGGAGCAACCAAGTCGTCAAAAAGCAAGATTTCATAAGAGAGAAAAAAAAAGGCTGAGCAGTTCTTATATTACGAAAGGGTACGTACGAATGAATGAGGAATACGCGTATGAAGTTGATGAGCCTCTTTTCTTCGTATGATTTAGAGTTTGCTTTGATTTATTCGCTTTGATCGTCTTGACATTTGACATCTTTATTGTTTCTATGCTTTCTGTCTCGTTTCCATCCTTTCGCACCATTTTGACTTTCCGTGCTCGACGAATTGTGAATATCATAAAGTTAACCCGCCCGCACACCTACCACACACGTACCAAGCAAATATCAGACAGTCTCCAAGGTTTTACCTTCAGCCCCTCAGAATCAGAAATATACGAGTACGCACTCGATACGAGATTCAGAATACCACCATTCCATACCTATCTAGGTTGTCTGAGTACTCTTGAAAAAACATCCACACCTGGAGCATTTGAGAATACACGTCGCATTTGAGCATTCCCTTCGCATTTGACTGTACACTTTCCATACCGTCAATCCAAAAATCCAGAAATCAATAACCCGACAACATGGAATTCTCAATACATAACTTACAGAAATATAAGCTAGCTGTACACATCGTACAGTTAGCTATGGCAGTCGTCATATGGATATTAGATATCATCGTTATGCGATCAACTGCAAAAGTAGATGGAAGACTTGGATGGAACTTTGGTTATGTATGTATATTTTTAATTCGCAGATGCGATGATGGACTCGTGCTGATAATCAATCCAATAGACATTCTTGGTTTTACCCGCAGTTATCTATCTTACCATGACCGTACGATTCCCCAGGACGAGAAAATTCGCAAACCCGTATGCGCTGTTGGTGATTGATCTCGTTTGGTGTGTTATGGCTCTGTCGGCTTTTGCAGCGGTCGCAAACTGGAATTCAACAGGGGAATGTGGAAGTGGTTGCAAAGTGAGCAAGGCAGTGGTGGGATTAGGTGTTTTCTTATGGTATGTCTTGGTTCTCCTGATTCGCATGATTGGAACTCTCAACAGTACATTTCTAATCTCAAACAACAGGCTCTTCTGGATTGTCTCAACAGCAATGTCATTCTATGGTCTGATGTACTACAAGAGAGAAGGATATCTTCCCGGCGCATCCCGAGCTCCCAACAACGCAGCCATGATCGATCCCGATAAAGAAGCTTTCTCCACCGCTCCCCACGATGACGAATATGCACCAGTTCATAATGTCGAAGAGCACGAAGAGCATGAATTACACGATGATGGATATCCCGGCGGAAACTTCGTAGGCAGAGTTCATTCACCAGATTACGAACCTTCGAGTTATGGAGGATCATATGCGCCTACATCGACGGCTCATCATGATGATTTGGAAGCTTCAACCGCGTATACCGGATATAGTGCGAGTGGATATGGCGGATCACAAAATTCGAGGACGGGGCGAGCTCAGTTTCCTGAGGGAAATTATGGTAATATTCCAGTCATTGGTGAACCATGAGAAATTTCATTATTCAAAAATAATTGAGTAACACAATACACATGAATGGATGGATGGATGGCACATGATAGATGATTTCACATTGGCGTTTCTGGTTTCCTCCTGTTGTGGTTTCGGTACCAATGGATCCCGTTTGAAAGTCTCTGTATATCGTGCTGGATTGGTAGATGGATTGGTTGGGAAAGAAACAACATACAAGTACATTTGAATGAATGCATTTATTGCATCTATCACATGTACCAGATTGTATGAGAACAACACAAGTCATCGGGAGGAGACATGACTTGCATATGTATCTTCGGGGGTTTTAGGAGGACTTTACTTGGCATCAGCATGGGTTAGGATGAAAATGAGTATGAGCATGAGGAACGACGGAATTTGATCGAAGGACGATTCGGAACATTTGTTATATAGAAATATATTTGTTAAAGACAATGGAATGGAATTTACATATGTTGAATATATTGTGAGGTGCTCACTATCTAGGTAGCAGATAGTTAGGTTAATGGTAGGTAGATTATGGGTAAAGTACCCAATCCCTTCACGAGACCTCACGCTCTTCGTTTAAATACTTGGTTACAGATTGGCAAGAATCATACGTGAGAAGTGAGGAGTGAGTGAGAAGTCAAAAGCAAAAAGAGAGTTTATCCACGGGCCGATGATACAGTTGGATTAGATTGGTGCCCAACAATATAAGATAATATGTGTGAGAATATGTATGAGTAACATAGTTATAGTTAGTGAGTGGATGGATGGGTAAGTAGGTAGGTAGGTAATGTGATACAAATTGGGATTGGATTTGGATTTGGATTTGGATTTGGATTTGGTTGAGTGAAAGGAGAAAGGGAAGAAGGGAAGGGAAGGAGGGAAGATGTTGGTAATTGGTAATTGGATATTGGATCGGATATTGGATATTGTATTGAATGAGAATGAGAATGGGAATGAGAATGGGAAGTGGGTGGTTGGATGGTTGGATGAGGGGGATGTGTGTTGATGGTTGGATGACGGGGAGGGGAGGAGAATATGAATGAAGGGTATTATATAAAGTATTGTTTGGGAAATGTGGATGATAGGTAGGTTGGAGTTATTGGCTAATGAGAGAGAGATATAGCTACTTGTATGTATGTATGTATGTGTATATTTATATATTTTACATGTTTATATATTTACATATTTATATATTTATAGATATAAATAATAATGGTAGAATATCAGATTTAAGCGGTTACCATAGAGAGGTTTAGGTTTAGGTTTATGTTTATGGTTTTGCTTGCTTTTTTTTGCTTGCTTGGTTTTCTTAGACACTTTACTTACCTAGGTAGTATGAGGTTACCAGTATACTCCATCGATACGATACGATACGATATGATAGGATGGATACTCTAAACCGTGTTGTTGGATGGGTGATATATATCATACATCATACATCATACATCATACAGAAGACGAGAAAACAAAGGAATCACAAATCAAGTACATTATTACATTACATTATTACATTACGTTACATATATCACAAACCATCCGAAACGGAACGAAAAGAAAGGAACTTCGAATACCTACCATAATACCTACCATCTATTACCTCCTGCAGATAGTAGGAAATAGTATCTGTACCACAAACCCTGCTCTTAAGAATCGATATCCATGGTATCATTCATTGCTGTGATTGGTGTAATGGCTAGTATGCGTATCACAAATGTCATACTGCATGAAACGAACGAGAAGGTGGGTGAAATGAAATCACTAATCACTGAAATGGCGGGGTTACACGGGTGGGAAATGTATGGACTAGGTAGGTTGCTGTGGGTAGGTGTGTGGAGAGGAATGGATGGTATGATATGATATGTATGATATGATACGGGATGAGAGATGAGAGATGAGAGATGAGAGATGGCGGTATGGCTTTGAGATGGCTGGATGGATGAATGGCTGGATGGCTGGATGGATGAATGGATGAATGGGATGGATGGATGGATGGGATGGATTGCATGTGCATGGCACCCCACCAATCCAATACATGTATGTGGTTGAATGAATGAATGACTTCTTTCTCATCCCACCTTCTTTTGGTTTTCTGCTTCTTTCTTTCTCTGTTGTTGACTTTGACTTTGACTTTGACTTTGACTTTGACTTTGGATTTGTTTAAAGGAAAGAGAGACAGATACTGACTTATAAGTTACTTTATTTACGAAATACTTCACATATTACCTGCTTCTCTTGATTATTCATTGAGATTCATATACACGTACAACACGAGAATATCTTCATCTATCAAGATTTCAATACAGTAACATCACTTGCAAATAGCAAAAATGGCTTCAGTTGGTTTTTTTTCTTCTCGTTACTGCTCTCATTTTCCCTCTTTAAATTACAAATACATACACAAATCCCCCCTCACCCTCTACCCCGCACCCAACTAACACCCCACCTAGATAACCACCCTCCTCTTCGACTGCGACAACACACTCGTCCTCTCCGAATCGCTCGCCTTCGAAGCGTGCGCCGATCTCGCCAATGAGATTCTCGAAGCCCGCGGCATCAGCGACCGCTACACCGGTCCACAACTGCTCTCCGAATTCGTGGGGCAGAATTTCCGCGGCATGATCAGTAGTCTCAAGAGCAAATACAACTATGCCATGAGCGACGCGGAACTCGAGGGATACGTGAGCAAGGAAGAAGATAAGGTGATTGCGAAGCTCCAGGCGGCGTTGCAGCCCTGCGAGGGGGTGGACGAGGAATTAGTGAGGTTGGAGAAGGATGGGGGATATCTGATGGCGGTGGTGAGTTCGAGTGCGTTGCGTCGATTGAAGGCGAGTGTGGAGAAGGTGGATCAGGCGAAGTATTTTGGCGATCGTATTTATAGTGCTGCGTCGTCGCTGGAGAAGCCGACGAGCAAACCGGATCCGGCGGTGTATTTGCACGCGATGGAGAAGTTGGGGGTTAAGCCTACAGAGTGTGTAGCGATTGAGGATAGTAGGAGTGGTGCGACGGCGGCGGTGAGGGCGGGTATTTATACTGTGGGTTATGTGGGTAGTTATGAGGAGGGCGAACGCAAGGAGATGGAGGAGGTGTTGAGGAAGGCGGGGTGTAAGGTTTTGATGAGTGATTGGAGGGAGTTTAAGGGGATTTTGGAGAAGATTCAGGAGGGGGGGTTGGAGAATTAGATGGGGTTTGTTGGGGTGAGTGGGAGAGGATGCTTGGGAATAGCCTTTTGAGGTGTTAGATATCAGAGGAGAGGAAAGAAAGATGAGAGATGAGAGATGAGAGATTAGTATTTCTTTACACCAAAATTTCTTTAGAGAGAAGAAAGTATCACTTAAAGTTTTTGCAAGACAAAAAAGAAATCGAGAATAGGAGAGAGATATGATTAGTTTATCGAAGACATGAAATTCCATGGTTTTAGCATTACATTTCCCTGTCTACTATTACTTCTTGAGCTTCTTTTCCTTTTCCTTGAGAATTTTGATTCCATTCCTTTTCTCCTTCTTTTCCACCCTTCTTTCGATCCTTCTTTCTACCCTTCTTCTGTCTTTCATTCCTTTACACACTCCTTTGTACCCTCCTTTCTTAAATGATAAATAAATGATCAATAAATATCTTACCAACATCTCCCTATCCTATCCTACTCTTCTTCATAAATCTTGGAATTTTCAAAATTATAGATACCTAGCAGTAAGTCTATCTATCTATATAAATAGGTAGGTAGATAGATAAATAGATAGGTAGATAGATAAGTAGATAGATAGGTAGGTAGATAAATAGATAGGTATATTGATTAATAAGGAAAGAGTGAAAGAAAGAACGGAAGAAAGGAGAGGAAAATAAAAAGGAAAGGAAAGAAAGGATTATATTTAGAGTTGTATGTTGATATATCGATTATCTATAGTCATATTGATATTTAGATTTCAGAATCATGTTAATATTACATCTTGATTGAAATAATTAAGGGAAGGAAAGAGAAGGAAAAGAGAAGGAAAAGAGATAAAATGATTAGGGATGAAGTATGAGGAATGGAGTATTAGGAATGGGGATGAAGAATGAAGGTTAGGTTAGAAGAGATATGGGATTTGCAATTGTCGATGAGGTTTAGAATAGAAAGGGGCAAGGGTTGGGTAGTAGTTGGAGAGGGGGGAGAGAGGGTGATTGTATAGTTGGGGGGGGAATGGAAGGGAAGAGGTTGGGGATGGGGATGAGGGAGGGAGTGGGATGAGGGGATGGGGTGGAGAGAAAAGAAGGGGGGGAGAGGGGGTTGGAAAAGGGAGAGGAGAAGATAGAGAAGGGGAGAGATGAAAGAGGGGATGAGAGGGGGGAGCAGAAGAGGGAGAAAGAAATAATGGAGAAAAGAAAGGAAGAGAAGATGAGCCAAGAAAAGATCCACTTTTGTAGAGAAGGCAGGGAGGTTAGGGAAGATGTGATGGAGATGGAGATGTGAAGCTTAGAGAGTGTAGAGAGCAAAGAAATTTCCGAGGAAGTAGAGAAGGTGAAATCGTGGGTTTATAATAAACGCCAAAATGAGCGTGAGCATGTGGGTTAAGTATGATTGGATACATGTATATCAATGTATTATTATTTTGACAATGGATCTCAATAGGTGCCTATGTAAAACGATATTTTGAAATACTTTTATATTTTATTTTTAAACTTTTTTTGCGCTTTATATATTTTATGAAATCACTAAACTAAACTCGCTATTCCTGAAGTCCCAGTCCAGTAAGTGGATGAGAGACAGATAAGATAAATCAGAAAAGAAAACAAAAACAATGCATCATCAGAAGAGAAAATAAAATATAAACCTATATCCGCAACCCGATGTATCCCATTCCGTAAACGCCATCCCAATGAATATTCCTCCAAAGCACCCGGGTATCTATCCAAAAAAATCGTACACCAAACTCCAACAACCCGCCACATAATCTAAAGACCACTGCTCGCGCGCAGCAACTCCGCAATCTGCTTCTCTAATGCCTCATTTTGCAATGTGAGGACTCTATTCTGAAGTCTGGTGATTTCTCTCTTCAAAGTCGCGAGTTCATCCACCTTATTAGCAGTGGCATTATTCGCAATTTCAATTTGTGCTCTCGCTTCTCGCTGAGTGAGCTGATTGATTTGTTCGCCATGAAGATTCGATTGATCCGCGACTTCAACCACCAAGTCCATGAATGTACTGAATCGAGATCGCTGCTCAGAAGCTTCTGCTCTAAGTGTGTTGATTTCGTTGCGCAATAGCGTGGTTTCGTCGGATTGAGTTTGGATTCTTCGTTCTAATCTTTCGACGCTGCCGGATATAGTTGGAATTTCCGTGGAATATTCAGTGTTTAGGGTGTAAAATGCCTCAAAATTCTCGCGGTGGTTGCTTAATTCTCGTTGAACTCCGTACAATTCTACTCCGAGATCAGTTACTTCTTCTTGGAGGATTAGCAACTGGTTGTTATTGTCATCGACATTGTTGTTCCTGGAATGATGAGAGATAACTGATTCATTGTCATCGGCATTGTTGTTCCTGGAATGATGAGAGATAACTGATTCATTGTCATCGGCATTGTTGTTCCTGGAATGGTGAGAGACGACTGATTCATTGTCGGTATCATCGGGGACCTCGATGGACTGTCGAGGAGTATCTTCAGCAAGAGTGACGGAATCTGTGTCATGTCTGTTGATTGAGTTTTCCTCTTGGGGGGTTTCGACGGGAGGATTTTCATTCGAATTCTGGTTCTCTGCGTCATGAGTAGAGCCTTCTGATAGAGCAGGAGAAGGGGCATATGAATGGAGGATCAAAGGATCAACAGAGGCATCGCGGGCCTCAAGGGAGTGAAAAACTTCGGCCCGAATGGAACGCTGTGGCGTTGGGCTGAGAATATTGTCATGGTTAATATTGTCTCGGGGTCCCGTGGGATAATCATTATTCGAGCTGGGCAGCGATGCCTGTGGAGATTGGATAGAGCTTAAACCACTGAACATAGTGCCAAGTGGCGGAAGTCGCGGTAATATCTGTGGGAGATGATTTGGCTTAGTAGCAACAGCAGAATCAAATGAACTGGTGTCACGAGCAAGAGTAGAGGTCGGCTTCTGTTGAATTACCAAACCAGGTTCGCCTGAATAGTTAGGTCCATACGCCGTCTCCGTAGTAGTGTATTCAATGTCGCCTGGGAATGTTGCTAGAGGCCCGTTGTAATCATCGGCTACACGTCCTCTCGGCGTTGAAGGTGCTGCTTGATAAACCATTCCAGAATAGATATTCGAGCTTTCAGGAGCTCTATAACTGTTCATCTCGACATCTCCATCAGCAGGAGTGGTACCATAGTTGCTACTGATGTAGACTCTATTGCGAGAATTTTGAAGTGTCTGGTCTGTTGCCCTAGCAGTGGTCTCATTGTAAAATCCAAACGAATAATGACGTCGCTTAGAAGGCGGTGCAAAGAAATCGTCATCTTCTTCGGATAGTCGCTTTCTTCTAGAAACATTTGAATGTGTCCATGAAGAATTCGAGTTGTTCATGCTTCCCTGGTTTCGGAAGAAATTGCTCGTAAGGCTTGGAAGCATAGGTGGTGGTTGCAATGCAAAGAAATTTCCTGGTCTGGCCCTATAAGAAGTGAATTGTTCCTGATAATTCATTCCTGGAGATTGATAGTCGGGAAGATAAGGTCCCGATGTTGGGCTTTGGGGTTGGGCTTGATAGTGAGCATAAAGAGCATTCGAGGGACCGGAAGAGCTTGGGTTGAAGTTTGGGTTTCTGGCCGCAAATACAGGAGAGCGTGGGTTGGTAGAACCTGCAGTAGCGAAGCTTGGGCTTGCGGGAGTATATTCAGGAGATGAGCTCAATTGGCGTTCAGGTCCTGGTCTTGCCATAGCTGTAAGTGGTTTTCTCGAGGTAGTTGGTGGTTGCCATGGGTTAGAACGACCTGTTGCGTTTCCGCGAGACATTCCTTGATGTGTAGTAGTAGACTGAACAACATTAGCTCCTATTATTTGATGAATGAAGGTAGATAAACTTACGTTGGTTACGGAGGCATCGTCTGATTCATTTTCAGAGCTGTCTCTCCCACCCAGGATTGGGCTTCTAGCAGGAAATTGGTTTATCGCATATGCGAAGTTTCTCTGGCCAAGAATACGGCTTGGGACATTTTGATTTGTGTAAGACATCTTAGCTGTAGCTATAGATGACAAGTGATTTTTTGATTTATCTGATTGCTTCGTAGCTAATTTGTACGATACGAAATGACGTATGCAAATCTGTATAGGAAGTGATTAGCTTTGCAGTATGTGAAAGCAAATAGAAAATTGACTTTGAAAGATTATATGGAAGGTTTGATTTGAGATATCGAGGAAGTCAAATTGCTGAAACAGAAAGATAATACTTACAACGAGAAACTAGAGTACTTTCAAAGAACTCTGGTTTTTACGGTATTCGGAGGAAGTTGTAGTAGATATCTTGAACTCAAGTACTCTCAAAGAACTCTAGTTATGATGATATCCAGAAAATGGTTGTAGTAGATAATCTTCGATGTTGTTGTGTATGAAAGATGTTGTTGTTGAATCTCTGTCAGGAAAGTTGTCAAAAGGTTGAAGAACTTGAGTAGTTGAAGAAGTTGAAGAAGTTTTTCAAGAGTTAAAGAGTAGAAATGTAGGTGAGAATGATCTTAATAAGTAAACTCAAAACTCGTCTACTAGTGCTAGTACAGTAGTGCTACAGGTATCTAGGTAGTGTCAAGTGTCAAATTTTCAATTCACTTGGCTCAGTGTAGAAAATTGGACTAGTTGGATTGAGAAATGGATTGGTAGAAATGTGAGGTTTGGTGGTAGTATTAGAATGTTGGAAGTTGGATGGTGTCAGTATGCGAGATGTTACTGAAAGTATTGTGTATTTTTGAGAAATGAGTGTGCGGGTTGAGAAACTATATATGAAAACTTCATAGTCGCAATACAGTCAAATGCCGCTAGTGTTCGCTAGAGATACTAGTCGTTGGTAGTACTGTGGTTCAGAAATGATATTCGTCATATTACGGTGAATGATACGGCGATTGGTATGGTTCATGTATTGGCGGGACACTTGGTTGGTCGAAGACCGTACATGTAGAGAGATGATTGGAGAGTATGTCCCCTTCCTAGAAAAGATTGTCCATTGGACTGACTATAAATCATCATGATACAATGAAAGAGATAATGTCTTTCCAGCACACATGCGCCAATAAGATAGGTTTCTTTGCCATAAAGAGTCATACTCTGGTCAATCGTATTTTCTGGATCATGCTTAGGACTTTGTGAGCTTTTGTTCATTGGGGAATCACGAATTCACCTCAGATATTAAAATACCATGCCAACCAACGTCCGCACATTGAATATATATGGGAAGCCAGGATCCAAGAAGACATATCGCCATATTGATCGTGGATTCGAATGACGCCCGTTACAGCTGAAATGCTAGATTGTATCAATCAATCATTATTTCGAGCTCAACCTTGAATAAGATTGACCGAGTTCTTCTGGCTCAGCAAAGTAAGAATTTATCAGAAGTTATATAGGAATTACCCATCGATATATATCATCAACAGATAAATGATCTCAATCACCCATCGAAGCAATGTCGTTACAATGTGGATCTGTGGCTTTTTCTGTCCAGGATGTGAATCGCAATATAGTTTACTGTCATCCAATGAAATATTGTTCATGTGACTCAGATGCATTTGTTGCACGTCTAAGAAGCAGGGTGCTTACTTTCGAGTTTCCCTGTCAATTTTGTGTATTTATCATGCTTGATTTCCCGATTCACTCTACATCTGATAGGCATTTAGATTGATGGTTACATATTACTTATTCTTTCCCTCCTCTTCATCTCGAGAGTTTCTTCAAATTCCGTTTCTATCTCTACAACCCTTTCTCACGTATATTAGATTCTCCCTTCCCTAGTACCTGTTTCCGTGTATCTTCAACATTTGATACTCCTGCCCCTTTATGATGTCTTTGCTCGTTAACTATCTCAAGTTGCTTGAATTCCTTTGCCCTGTACATTGAATTAGTTATCGCCAGAATCTGAGAAAAGGTGTAGACATTTTTACAATGTTTTTGTTGGTGATATTTCAATTCTCGTGAACTATCCAAAGTCAAGTCGAGTCAGTAACTTGAACACAGGTCGCCAGCAGAACTGCGAAGAAATTATCACAAGATAACACGTACAGAGAGAAATATCTATAGGTCAGAAATGAAACGCCGGCAACATTGACGACTCCCAAGAAGCCGCTGAATCGATTGCTATAGATAAACTTGAAGCTCATTGATAATATTATGATGATTGATGGTTTCAATCTTTACAAGTGAGATACCTATCGTTGTGGAGAAGCGTAAGTGTGGGATTGTACAGATTATCTATGGGAAAATGTGGAGGAGGGAAAAATTCCCAATTGTGACAATGATATCTAGTACTTTCGAGTATTTCAGGAGTGGGGCATTTCTAGTACATTGAATGATAGAGCACTTGTTTTTACTAACTTGCAAGTTTTCAGATGACTTGAAGATCAACACTTAGCATTGCCTGTATTCCAGAAGACTGTGGTTCTGGTGGTGATCATTCCGGAATTTGATTGTTCAACATAGAATACCTGAATTTATTCATTTTCGGGAGTTTCTGTCTCATGTGTTAATTCCTACCTTTACCATGTACTTTACTAGTTATCTACAAGCTTCAGAGCCATGGTGGTGGTGAGTGATGAATAGGATGATTATTAGCCCTTGGATTAGATTTCAAAACTGTATGACTGTGATTCTAACTTTGTGGATTTCCAAATTATAAGTAAGAACTGTCTAGTACTTAACTATTGAGATTTTGGGCTCACAAACTAGAATCATACCAAAACACAAGCTGGAAACAGTTAGTAAGAACACACTATCCATTCAGTCTCATCAATCAAATGATATCGGGTCATTGATATCACGAACTTGGAGATGATTACTCGACCTAAATACTCTAGTCTACTCCATCTCCTCTAAGTCTCATCTCTTACCATAACTATTCTTACCATAATCTCTGGCTCGTCTGGCTCGTCTGACTACTCTATATCATCCTTACTTGTCATCGAAAGCCATACCGCTTCAACATTCGATCTGAACATTCCTGCAATACTAGATTTCTATTCATTGTTCATGTCATCATCTAAATATGATTATCCAAACAACAATTCAACTTTGATCTCCTGGAATTTGGTGACAAAGTAAGATAATCTAACTCATTGAACGGTCTCTCTTTCAAAGTTCGATCTTACCAAACCGCATCATCACCATTACTCAAATCCATGAATAATAGTACTAATATTAAATAGCTATAAGATACATCAAGTGGGGGACTTTAGCAAAAGTTAAGAAACCCAGCTCTCTTTCCAATCAATTGAGATTATTATAATCCAGCAAAAAATAGATCCCCATAGATATATATCAGATTATGATTCCTCCAAATATGTTCAGACAATCAATATCACCATTCTTCTGACCTGACACTGAGTGCTTTTCATTATTAAATCTACAACATCTTCCTTATCCCTGGGTATACACAGAGTTGATACTTTGTATATAGGTAGGTATATAAAATAACATCAACATTGAGAGATTGATCTTGAGGTGAATAAGTCGAGAAGTGTAAAAGTATTTATCATCCACAACACTTGGGAAAATCCGAATTTATTACAGGATTAAAAGATTTATATATGAATATATATGAATGATATCTACAATTTCTATAAGTACCCAATACTAGTTAACAACATGAATAAAAATGTCTCATAATCATGACGACAACAATATACTTAGGATCTATCCATTGGGTAATATTTACCTAGTAAATCTTCTCTAACCTTTGAGTGAGATTAAACACCTTGTCTAAACTTACTTGCCCCACCCACCCCACCACTAATTAAAAAGCTTTGATATTTAATAACCCTATTTCGTTATATTTATCTATATCTCTTTAAATTACCTATTCCTATCAAATAATTAGATTATTTAGTTCAATTAGGTAGAATGTAATACTAATATCTATTCTATTCATTCAAATAGAATTGACATATCAAAATTAGCAATTCAAAACTACTAGTAATCAAATTTTGCTTGCTTTTTTGTTTCTGAATATTAGATATACTAATGTTTTGATAACGTGGTTTATTAGTGCGTGTATTATATCAGTATATATATCACTTCAAAATACACCTAAATTAATCTTTTTTCAATATTTGTATTTTAATAACGAATTATTATTTTAATAATAAAAAATATATTAAATAATAATAAAAATAAGATATTTAGAAATCTAATTTTTATATAAATATTCCTATTATATTTCTAAAAAAGTTGAAATTGTTACGATTTTCGTTATCAAAAAATTATTTTAATAATAACTCTTATTTTAATTCAAATTTTTGAAAAACAATTTGATTTTTATGTTATTTATATAAACAAATATAATAATTTCCTTAAAAAATCAAATTATATTAATAAATAAAGGAAGTGCACGGTTACGTATAGATATATTTTATTATTACGAAGGGATAGCTATGTTAATTGGTTACTCTGATTATATAATAGGTAACGTAATTTATTAGTATGTGGGCTATATCAATATGTGGACCACTTTCATTTCAATTTATACTTTCAAATACAAATTATTTAATAACTATTATATCAATTAATTGAAATTATTAAAAATCTAATAATTTAGGATTTATTATATTATTTTGATAAATTCTTGAATTATAATCTAATTTTCTATATTTATTATAATATTTATTAGAAAATACTTTTTTATTAAAATCCTTTTATTTTAATATTTATTATATTAAATCTAAATATTAACTTTTTATTGAAATAATATATCAAAAGTTTTTTATTTAATGAATACTTTTTCTTAATATAATTAAGTTTTTTTTATATATTAATATTTATTTAATATCTTATTTATTTTTTGAAATATATAAATCTTTATATTCAAAAATATATTTTATAAATTAGTTTTTTTATATTTTTAATTAAAATAATATAATTTTAAATAAAAATATAAGGAAATTTGATTAATAATAATTTATTTAAAATTTAATTTATATTAATTGAAAAAAGCTTTTATTAATTATAAAAGATTTGAAAATTTTTATTTAATTTAAATTAAAAAAGAGAAAAATAAATATACAAATTTGAATATCTAATTTTGAAAATATAACTTTAGAATTAAATAAAACTAAATTTTTTTTAAAACTTTGTTTTTATATTCTAAAAAATAAGTAATTCTTTATATATAATTTTAAAAATTATAAAGAATTTAATTTCAAAAATATAATTAATATATATTTTAATAAATTTATTAATTTAATTACTATATAAATATTTAGATTACTAAAATAATTTATATCAAATAATCAAATTAAATAATTTGAATATAATAGTAAATATATATATTTAATATTATTCTTTTTATAATAATTCTAAAATAATATTAATTTATGATTTTTTATTTTATTTAATATTAATATTCGATATTTGCTTTTTTCTTTGATTTTTAATATATTTATCAAAATGTTTTAATTATTCTAAATTTGTTTTATTATTTATTATTTATTAAATATAAATTTAATAATTTATTTTATAGAAAAGTTGATTTGGATATATTAATTAAAAGATGAATTTATTCATAAATTATTAGAAATAAGAAAATAGTTTTAATTTTCTTTATTTTTATATATTATTATTATAATTTTATTTTCAATTATTTAATTATATTATTTTATCTTTATTATATTATTCTATATTAATTATAATTATTATAATATTTATAATTCTTATTATGCAAACAATGCAGAAAAAAATTCAGCTTTCCTTCCCGATTGCGATACCATCAAATTTCCGTCCATAATAACAAGTGAGCTAGCTCATGACTGCAAACATTGCTCAAAAAGCTTTAACGTTTCTGATCACGCAAAGGAACACCAAAGTTTTGCTCATAATGATAAGCAACCTTATGGGTGTGAACAATACGAAAAAAGTTAAAGCTTTTTGGTTACTTGAAGCACTATCAACTAGCTGTTCCGAAACACTTTTCAAATTCCTCTAAATGTTCTGGTACATCTTTCAGCATCTCCGTTTCTGATGCGTTTAAGGAAACCTTGGAAAAGCTACTCCTGATTTTCAACTGTTCCCAACTTCGCATATACGAGAATTAGAAAGATTATTGTGGTGATTAGCGGCAATTACTATTGTTGGGCAGTTGTTAATATTCAATGGGGATTAGTATAGGGGAATCACTAAGGACCGGTTGAGTGGCGAAGGATGGGCTACCGATGTGATGCGGCCGGAGGTGATATGCTGTACCATAATGTTGGAATAAAGTTTGCATGTTGTTATTGATAAGTAATGAATGGAGCCTTTGCTGTTTGATAGGTTGCATATTGTTACTACTCTGCCATCGCTCTTACCCAGATCCAAACAATGTTGACGTCACTTCAGACAAAGATCTGGCCAGCATGTTGAACGAGTATTGATAGGCGGTTATGGGCAGCTGAGGCTTTGAATGATTGCGCAGAGCATTCTGGGTAAAGATAGCTGAAGCTCAGGAAGGCGATCAAATCAAATGGCAGTATAGATATATGATACCTCGGAGAAGTCCAGCGACGATTGGCTTGCTCTGGGATTTTTAGGTAAAGATGTCTTGAAGATTCAATGAGCTTTTCAAAGGGGAGATCTATTGCAAGGTAACAGATAATCAAAGGGATATTCTTCAAGGTATTGTGAAAGAAGAGGTATTGAGATGGATGGTATTCAGATCATAAAAGCTGTGCCGTGCATCCTCATAACCTTAATATCATTAACCATGCCAGCAATTGATAAAACCAGCAACTCCATTTCGAATGTGTTTCCAAAGGTACTTAAACAAGGAAAAGTAGCGGCATCAATGTCTGATGATATACAACCTTCCTGACCATTCCATTTCCAGGATTAATCAAGTCTGGCACATAGTACTCCGCTCGAAACATATGTAGTGTATATTTCCATAGCCATGTTAAAAATACACCCATGCAACCATCGTATTCGAATAGAAGTATAACCCCAACTAAGGTACCCTGTATGCATTCTAGAGTAACCTGAATAGCTTGCAAGTCACCGCGGATTTAATGCATATCGGGAGAAGCCTCCGACACAATGTCAAATCCGAACCAGAGGTTGAATGAGTTACCTCGATATAGAAAAAGGGTACTTTTAATCACACAGTCACCTTTTCATTAACCTCAATAATCGTTGTAGCACTGCTATACCTTATACTGGCATTGGAACGCATATAGTCGCTCTTTTCAACAGATTGTATGGGGGAAGTGGGATCGGGATGGTAGAAACCATACGCCAGGTGGATATATCTGAAGCCTCAGATAAGACTAAGGTGGAGGTAGAAGGGACGCAGCCGGAAACTGAAAGACCCCAGAGTGTAAACAAGTTGGAGTTATGAATGAGGAACAAGAAATAAAGAACTCGTTGAAGGATGAAGTGAGGCTGATAAAGTTGTAGTGTATTAAGATGAGAAGATGAGAAGATGGAAAGAGCACACCTGACTGGTATTGAATAAACTACATTTTGATTAACTTAGAAGCAGTGTTATGAGCTCCTAAGCCTTTTCGTTTTCGACAAACAAGTTTGTTTTTCTCTTTGCTATCACCATTACCCAGCTTGTTAAACTCTGTCAACACACAAGTAGTACAGACTCCTTTCTGATCATAATACTTGTCTTTGTTACATCTACTATCTAGAGCAGTAACACGAGCAACATCCCCTAGCTTCATGAAATGCTTTATCAATACTATATCTATTTCGATATCATGATGGATTCCATTAGCCCATCGAATCAGGTTTGCTATATCTGAAATAAGCCACGAATTTGTTTCCTTCCATAATCCGAGGGTGTTATCAGGGTCGGAATCGAGCGGATCGTAGAAAAACAATGCAGAGCACCAAAACAAAGTAGCATTAAATAAACGAATGTCTGATTTACGAACACAGTTACCAAGAATTGACAACTTGGTAGTTAAACGCTTGTGTTCGTAAACATTTGAGTTGATTCGCATCGTTGTTTGTATCCATTTCAACAGTCTCGAGTTAAGAGCTTGTGATATCTCGGAATTATAATCGAGTTGTTGATTTAATCCCCGAGAGTCTAAGTTAGCAAGCTGTGCTTTGGCGAGCTGTTCCTCGTCCGAATCCACATCGAAGTTGATTTCGATATATCTCGGATCGTTTTCGACGTCATCCAAATTCACTGGAATATGCAGCAGTTCTTCACAGTCATGAGAGAGTGTGTCATGCACCATCGTCGAGTTATGACGAGGTAGAGTTTGAGGTAGTGTCTCTGTAGTTGTTGCTCCGATAATATTGACCGATGATGTTTCCTGTTCGAAGATTGGTAGTGACCGGGGAGCCTGCACTTCCAGGAGCAGATCAGGATTCTTGGTGTATGGTGGTAGTAGTGATACTGGGCCAAGTCTACTCCATTCCACCAATGCAGGTGTTTGTCCAATGTATATTTCCTTCATATTGGTTTTGTGTATGTTGGTGCCAGTATTGCTTATGCGACTACGAACCTCTTCCAGACCTACCAATGCATAATCATTTGGCTTGATATATACAGTGAAGGTTTTCGCATCAGATAGAGATTCAAAGCTACCGATCAATTCTTTTGAGCTGTAATTTCGAGGTTTAATAGTTGTAATATTCTTCTTCTTCTTTGTAATAATAAACCCCTTTGCGATTAGATCGAATTGTAAACAAATAACATGCATTGAATCGCTGATTTCAGCATCGTGAATAGCAGAAGCATCGAGATGAGATAAATTTCCGATATTGGATATCAAACAAGGCTTGGTAGTATCTGAGAAGTTGGTATGGGTATCAGGGGGAACAACCAATAACATCTCTATTTTCTGCTTATTAGTTCCAAGTATAACAGATACTTCAAGGGAAAAGTGAATATGAAGGTGCCCTTCTTTATCATGGTATATAGCTATGAAAAAGTTGAGATTCTGTCCATTACACTTCAAACGAGAACCTAGTGTACGAGGTGTACGCGATTCATCCTCCCATTTTATAAACACTCTTTCGCGAAGGATAAGTCGAAGTTTGAGTTTCTCAATCAATATTTCAGTTGGATTCGACATAATTTGTTCCTATAACTATAATTAGCAATAAACATAATAGGAACATTATAAGCCCACACTTTATGTATGATTCCCAACCCACCCAGGCTATAGAGCAGCCTTGACTCTTGAACAAAATGAAGGGTAAAAGTGGTTCACAAAACCTGATATATATATAAGTCGTATTGGAGTTGGAGTTGTTCTAAGCAACAGACGTTGAAAGAATACCACTAATAGGGTTGTTCTAAGCAACGGACGTTGAAAGAATACCACTAATAGGGTTGTTCTAAGCAACGGACATTGAAAGAATACCACTAATAGGGTTGTTCTAAGCAACGGATATTGAAAGAATACCACTAATAGGGTTGTTCTAAGCAACAGACGTTGAAAGAATACCACTAATAGGGTTGTTCTAAGCAACAGACATTGAAAGAATACTACTAATAGAGTTGTTCTAAGCAACGGACATTGAAAGAATACCACTAATAGGGCTGTTCTAAGCAACAGACGTTGAAAGAATACCACTAATAGGGTTGTTCTAAGCAACAGACGTTGAAAGAATACCACTAATAGGGCTGTTCTAAGCAACAAGCGTTGGAAGAATACCACTAATAGGGCTGTTCTAAGCAACAAGCGTTGGAAGAATACCACGATAGAGATAGAGATGGAGAGATTGAGGGATGGAGATAGAACGTCAGTGCTGTGCGATGTGCGACGGGGTTGGTGATGGTGATGGCGATGGGTGATGGGTGATGGTGATGGTGATGGCGATGATGGGTGATGGTGATGGCGATGGGTGATGGTGATGGCGACGGGGTTGGTGATGGTGATGGCGATGGGTGATGGTGATGGGTGATGGTGATGGAAGTGAAGTAAAAAAAAAAGAGAGATAACGATGCAAGTACGAGTAGTAGTGCAGGCAATAATCAGGCACACATTTTTTCTGTTATAAGGAAAACACACTAACAACGCATATGTGGAGTATTGATTTGAGATTGTACAATGATTATAAGGGTAAATATTATAAAACACACCAAAAAGCAACCATACTTTTCCCTATATACAAAAGCTTTAACTAATTAAAATATTATACTCTTTGAAAATTGTTATAATGAATTAAAACTAAAGAAAATATTATAAATATAGATTTCAATATACTAATATATTAAAATAGATTTATTTCTTAAGAATTTTATTAAATAATTTATTAAAACCTTTAAAAATTTTAAAAGCTTTATAAGCCTTTATAAATAAATAAAAACTTGAAAATCGAAATTTAAAAAGATAATTTAATATATATTTGAATTATTTAAAGTAGTAATAAAATATATAAAAACAGTAAGTTTTTAATAAAAATGGGGTTTACATCATTTATCTATATAACCATTGTAAATGGAAAATAAGACATTGAGAGAATTAAATTTTTGAATATTTCGTACTATCACAAGATTGAATTGGACTTCTGTAGAAAAAAGTTTATCGAAAGTCCGTAAAAATAAAATGATTCGAAATATATTGGAAGCGCCAAGATGCCCGAATGATGCATATATAGCCACAAAAATACAGAACACCTGAGTTTAGCCTCTAATAATATGTGCTACAACCTTCAATATCTGTTTACATATTTTCGTTGGCCAGTAGTATTGATTTAACTAGCAGAACTCTCTTATCTGTCAGTTGATGCTGATTACTATATTGTGGATGACGAATAGTGTTTGAACGAATGCCTGTCTACGGATATCTCTTTCCAGCTTAGCGACGGAGAAAGTCTCGCATATATCATACAGTGATTATATGAATAAATAATGTAAAACCCACTTTTATTAAAAACTTACTGTTTTTATATATTTTACTACTACTTTAAACAATTCAAATATATATTAAACTATTTCCTCAAATTTCGATTTTCAAATTCTTTTTTATTTATAAAAGCTTATAAAACTTTCAAAAATTTTAAAGATTTTGATAAACTATTTAATAGAATTATTAAAGAATAAACCTATTTTAATATATTAACATACTGAAATCTATATTTACAATACTTCAATATACTAAAATTCATTATATTAATTTTCAAAAAACATAATATTTTGATTGATTAAAGCCCTTATATATAGGGAAAAGCACAACCGCTTTTTGATATGTTTTATAATACTTACCCTTACAACCATTATACATATTGCCGAATTCCCCGGTTCCCCGTTCCCGCCAAAATAATTCAACTTGGTTTAACATCGAGCTTGCTTAGTATTGATTGATATCCACACCAATCCACCACCACGTCAAGTCTTCCATCCACACATAATCTGCAAAGTGCTGGGCAGCAATATTCAAGACAGCAGCCCTCCTCTCGCAAGAACACACATCTAGAAAAGATGTTATTTCCCCAAGAACAAAATGAATCCAGAGACGGGAACATCAAATCGAAGCAGTCATTTCCTTCTCCAATCAGCAATACTCCTAGTATCAAGGTATATTATTCTTATTTTGATATACTACAAAGCTAACTCATTAAATTTCCGCAGATCGAGAATCGTCAATTAAAGCGAAAACGATCACAAAACGAAGCTACATCCCCTTCTATTATTCCTTTTGAGAAACGGCTACGGTCATCGATCTCACAACCTCACACGGAGGACACAGCCTGCGAGAATACTGTGTTTGATATCTGCGAGAAGAAGATCGACCCCCTTGAATATTGGACGAAAGAACTTCGCTGGCCAAACGAATACTTTGAACCCGAGAAGAATATGAATCATCTGCTTGCGAAGAAGAAATCTTCTTCATCTCTTCGTAGCAAACAATCAGAAGCAGGTTATACTCCGCCTACATCTATTACAAATACCGACCAAAAGCCAAGGGAAGTAAAAAGTGCTCCTTATACACGCCCGAGCTATACAACTGGTCTTGCGACAAAGGGCAGCTTTATGAACAAGTCCGATTTGAGCATTACAGATGCAAGCAAGGACCTCTGCCGAATTCTACTGGAGACAGAGCAGAAAATACCCGAAGACTCTTTATTCCGTGATGAGATATTTGAAAAATCCTGCCGAAAGATTCAGGATAGGAATGAAGCAAGAGTAGTTCAAGATATCGCCCGACTGATCGTTCCTTCTGCGGAAACCTTGGCGACATATGGTGCCACACATCTTGAATCTTTGATAGAAAGTGTTAATGAAGGTTGGAATAGCTCTATACCTTTTTACGGTCCTCGCCCACAGCCTGATTATTCGGTTGGATTCAGACGATCTGCATTTACAGATGATCAACTGGAAAAACTTGCACCTTTTGTTGGCGAAATTACGGACACTTTTGCTTCATATTTCATAGCTACTTGGCAGATATACCTTCCGTTTTTAACATCAGAGGTGAAGTGTGGTGCTGCAGCTCTGGATACTGCCGATCGGCAAAATGCTCACAGCATGACAATTGCAGTGAGAGGGACGGTCGAACTCTTTAGACTCGTAAAACGAGAAAAAGAGCTTCATCGAGAGATACTCGGTTTTTCCATCTCGCATGATCATCGAACTGTAAGGATCTATGGTCATTATCCTGTAATCGATGAGGGGAAAACCACTTTTTTTCGCCATCCGATTCATACATTCGACTTCACAGCATTAGATGGTAAAGAGAAATGGACCGCATACAAATTCACCAAGAATATTTACGATATCTGGATGCCGATCCATCTGAAGAGAATTTGTTCCGTTATCGATGACATACCCTCTGATCTAAATTTTGAGGTCTCGCAGCAATCCGAGCCAGGGGAATCTGGACTTTCACAAGGGTTAGGGAGTCCCAATAGTCTTGAGCAAACAAGCTACGATACCATGTCTTTCAAGGAAGCCGACGACCAGTCAAGTCGTATTACTTCAGATACCTTGCCATCTCTGGAACTTGAGGAGGGGGTACCCGAAAACCCAAAGAAAAGAGGTCGGCAATAAATTGCTTTGTTAGAAAAGAGTGTGTGGGAATATAATGATAGCTTTCATATTCCCTTTTCTTGAGAAGACGAGAGATTTCGTATTGAAAAAACACTATTGTTTGTTACAGATAATCCTAGGAGACAACTATGTTGAGGTCTTCACACGATCTTCCTTCCCTTCCTAACATGAAAGCTATGCTGTATTTGAGTATCGGGGTTCAGGGTTATGGTTTTTCCTAATCCCAAGTGTTCCCTTATTGTCAAAATCTATCTAGTACCATCCATCTCAATGCCTCCCTTGGATGAAGAATGCATTCTCACGACCCTTTAGAAAACATGAAGATAAATGTATCAATAAAATAATTGTGATTTTTCCCTCGAAATACTTCAACCCTATATAATTATTTACTTCTTAAACATTTTTTAAAAAAATTGAAAACTCGGTAAATCCAAATCGAAAAGGATCAATTCCTTGAAAGACATTCCCCTAATTATCCATTACTTTGCAATAGATTTCTCCTTTCTAAAAATCTCACCGAACCTCTAAGACAGCTTCACTCAAAAATTCTCCAACCACAACCACCACAGAAAGCACACTGAGAGCATTAGCCGTATTAGGTATTCAAAACGATTGATATGCATAGTCAACTCCATTGTATATAGCTTTTAACAAAATACGCATTACACTTAATTCAACCTGATAGTCATTTATCTGTGTGTTTCCAACTATACAACCATATCTAAACCGCATAATTCATAACTTGATATACGAGCAGTTTAACACTCCGAGTATGGTAAACAGTAATTCTGATAACAAAAACAAGTGTTGAAGATGGTTTGTATCACTCCAAAGTAATATCATAGAGACAATCCATGTTGACGTGCTGTATGATTAAGAAAATGCATAGCACTACCCAAAAATGCCGAACAATCTTGGTAAGGGCAGTGGAACCCCTCATCAACGGTACGAGATTGAAGGTATTGAGTTTTGATATGCCGACTAAGACTATCAATATGAAGGTATTCATACTCTCGTTTCTTTGATTCTACTTCAATATTATTCTATTTGCAGAAGGCACAAAATAATATAAGAACCTCAGAAAGCTTTTGAGATTTTGTAATTGTATCAGAAATTAGAGATATCGTTATAAGATTAGAATTCGTATCTTCTGATGAGGGTTGGGGGCTAGTGATATATTTGCGAGGCTATCCTTTAAATCTCGCTATTCGATATTGATGAGGGGATTCTTAGCGTTTGCAAAGTTGAATTAGGTTTTGCACAAGCTTGATTCGCTTTTGAATAATTTGATTTTCTATTAAGCCTATAAATAATTCGAAAAACAGTTTAGCAATAGTAGCTCACTCCTTAAGCTCATATTCAATTATTAAAGGAATAAGAATATCAGTAGGAAGGATTTCTTGTAATTGTTAATCAACTTTGATAATATAAATAATCTTATAAAACTCCTTAATAATACTATCCAATAATTGTTTATTCTTTTAACTTTTTAAATTGTTGATTTTAGTTTGTATTACTTAATGTTTTTTATATCATCTCGTATTCGCAATTATTTTAATAATAAAATAACCATATATTTTAATCTTTCGAATAGATTCTTTATATTTTTGAATAAGTTAAAGAATATTGGGATTTTGATTAATCTCAAACTTCTGTATATCTATTAAGTTTGAAGGGGCCTGCTTATAATAAGATAGTTGGCTAATAACTCAAATTAGATCTTTTTATTATATAAATCTAAGATAAATAGCTTAATAATTCGTATTAATGAATACTAATATATAATATCATTTATAAATATCTTTCCAATAACCTATAATCTGCTGGCGTTTTTCGGATATAACAGACTCTATATTATTAATTAGCTATTCAATAAGAAATCTTAATAGAGGGCGAGAGGAATCAAGAGGGTTTTATATTAGTAACCTACCATTCAATCTTTTCCCTAAAGCTCATCGCAAATCATAGAATTCTAGTCTCTTCTTATATCTATAGATCCTATTAAGACAAATAAGATAATATTAATGTTTTGAATATTCTAAATATTTAATATTTGAAATACGAATATTATTAAAAGTACTCTTCACATCCCGAAAGACAGGCCTCCTAGCCCATTTGCTGTCTCATTGTAAATAAATACAATCTATATTAAATAATATAATTAAAGAATATATATCCCTAAGAGAATTAAACTTACTTTCGAATATATTATCAGCTAGCACTAAAGCTAATATAAAAATTACCTTACAGTATACTAAATCTTTAGCTTCATAAAATACAAATATCTTCTTGTTTTTGATTAATAAATTGAAAAGACAAAATTAACAACCACTTATTACTTCTTTTTCCCATCTAACCATTTGATTTGCTTAAGGTTAAACTTTATTATAATAATTGGTAACTGGCTTTTAATTAAAAAAAGGAAAAGTTGGAATTCGATATTTTGATATAAAAATCTAATAAGAGCTTTTAGTTTAGTAGTAATATAGCCAATAAGATTCAAAAAGGAAAATATTTGTACTCAGAGATATTTATAAGTATAAATCTCAGTATTGTGAATTCAATAATTGTTTTGAAAAGTATATAAATCTTCAACAAAAAGCCCTAACTTTTCTTTTTCTGAATCATTGAGTTCAAATTTAATAATCAAGTTTTGTGAAATTCATTATTATCAAATTAATATAATCTTCTTATTAGAAAGATTAAAGATAAATATATATATTATAAATATTATAAAGAATACCTTTATTTATATAATATTCTACTAATTGTAAGAGTTGAGGCCCCGGCTTATCGTACATTTAAGCGAGATTAGGGTAGTCACCTAATTTCGCACACCTTATTTTAAAAATTCAATTATTATTCTAAAATTCATTATTTTCGATTTAAATTTAAAACAAATATTGAATATAATTATGAAGATAATAATTATAAATTTTATTAAAATTGGTATACTCCTTAATGTTTTAGAGTTATTTAAATTAGAATTGATAGAAAATCCTAGGGATGGATTATTTCAAATTTAAATATATTATAATTTATTATAAGAAGTATAATTAAGTTTAATTCGATTAGAAGAATTTGGAAAGAAAAGATTTATTAAAAGTCTATAATGATTATTAAAGAGATTTATTGAATTATAAGAATAATTGTTAAAGATTGAAGCAAAAGGAGAATGATTTTCAAATAAATTAAAAATATATTTGGTATTAAGATTTCAATATATATAATTTAAAAGGAATTGTATTGATATAAGTATAATAAATGTATAATATATTCTAAGCTTTTTATCTTGAGAATATATGCAAAAAAGAGGTTAGATTTTGTATATAAATATTATTAATAAGAAATTAGTAATATTATTATTATTAGATTAAAAGGAGAGAATTAGAGGCTAGTTATATAATTAAATAAAAGTATTTTTGAATTAGGAAAAGTGAGTAGAATATAGATTATTAAATAGATTAATAAAAAAAGATATATTAATTATATTAAATTAGTATATCGATCAAAAAGAATATTGATAATAATATAGAGTGTAATTAATTGAAATTATAAATCTTTATTGATTTTCTTAGAAAAGCTTGAGAGTAATAAAAATATTATTTTTAAAGTATATATATAATAAGTTCTTAAGTTTATTATATTTTTATTATTTGATAAATTAGGATTTGAATATATATTTATAGAGAATAATTTTAAGATATATTTTGAATATACTTATAAAGTTTGATTAAAATATAATATATAAAACTTTGATTAATTATTCTCTTTTTCGGATTTTAATTTAATTGAGAAAGTATGGTAATAAATGAAAAAGAAATTAAAAAAGCTATTATTTGTATTTATTTCTATAAAGAAATTGAAATATGAATTGTAAGTTTTTTGGAATAGAGTAGATTTTTTAGATTTCAGGTTATATATTGAAAGATTGATTTGTAAGATTGAAGATGTAATTGAAGCATAAAGATTAGCTATTATTTATTAATATAATACTCAAGTTTTATAAGATTATATTGTATGGTTGATTTATTATTAAATTTTAAAAAATTAGATCGAAAAATAGATGGTGTGCGATAAGCTGGGGCCTCAACTCTTACATATACCATATTAAAAATCTTTTAATATATAATAATAGAAAATTCCTTTTTGATTTATGAATTCTTTATTCATTAAAAAAAATAAGCTTTAAAAATAACTATTTTGTAAGTTTTAATAGTTTTTGATAATTTATTAATCTTTAAGACTTTATAAAATCTATTAGAAGAATATAAGCAATTATTTATGAATTTATTATTGAAATATATTTTTATTATTTTTATTTTTTTAATTCTATTTCTATTATAGCTTTAATTTTATTATTAGGATTTGATAATATAATCCCTTTTGCTTCAAAATCGTTTATTATTTACTAATAATAATTAGCTCAGTATTAGAATCAAATCCCTGATTAGACTGAGAATTATAACTTGAATCTTGATTAATATTAGAATTAGAAATAGAATCAAACTTATTAATAATAATAGAAAATAATCTTCACTATTCATTTATTTTCTTCTTTTTTATAATCCGCGGTTCATATATTTGTAATTATTCTTTCTTGTTTTGTAATATACAAGCAAATGATTTATATTTATTATAACGGAGGGCTCGATATTGAGCATATCGTCAAAGGATAGGGTAAGACATATTGTGATTTCTAATAGCTGAATAATTCTGTGATAAGATATTAGCAGATTGTAATAATAAAGAAGGCTAGTGAATAAAGCAGATCTTTTATTTATGACAGAATATATAAGACTGATATAATTTATTGCATTTAGAACACAATTGAATGGTATCTGATATTATTGATAACTTCAAAAATCGCTTTTGTTTAGTTTTTGATAAATGAGAAGTAATAATGCTAAGTTTTAATAATATATATTTAATAATATATAAGAGTAAGAATTAAATAATCCTAGAATAAACTTTGTAGAGGAAAAGCTTATAAAAGAAAAGAGCAAAGTTTGAAGAGTTGAAGAATAAAATAAGGAAATGTAGAAAATAATTATAAAGGAATTACTGGATTATATACCTTTTAATCACAAATTCAATGTAGTTATAACTTATATTTGATTGTAAACCATCTTTATTAGGAATATTTTTAGTTTTTGAGAGGGGGGAGGAAGGGGTATTCAAAAAGAAAGAACAAAGTAGGTGAGTAGATGATATTGGAATTAGGAATTGGGAGTTTGAGAATTGAATAAGTATGTTATTGTAGAGCGTCTGTAAAGCAATAAGAGTTTAAACTTATCAAATTTTTGATGGCCTGAGGATAAGCAGTTAAGCGAGTGGAATGGCCGTATAAAACAGCGGAAGGAAGATGCTGAAAACAGAGTGCAAAACGCTAACATCTAGTTACTTGTAGAATTATTATAAAAATAATAATATTAAATAAATATATTTACTATTATATTCAAATTATTTAATTCAATTATTTGATATAAATTATTTTAATAATCTGAAATATTTATATAGTAATTAAATTAATAAATTTATTAAAATATATATTAATTATATTTTGAAAATTAAATTCTTTATAATTTTTAAAATTATATATAAAGAATTAATTATTTTTTAGAATATAAAAACAAAGTTTTAAAAAATAAGTTTAGTTTTATTTAATTCTAAAATTATATTCTCAAAATTAAATATTCGAATTTATATATTTACTTCTTTCTTTTTTAATTTAAATTAATAAATTTTTTAAATCTCTTATAATTTAATTAAAGCTTTTTTTTAATTAATATTAATTAAATTTTAAATAAATTATTATTAATTAAACTTTTCTATATTTTTATTTGAAATTATATTAATTTTAATTAAAGATATAAAAAAATTAATTTATAAAAATATATTTTTAAATATAAAGATTTATATATTTCAAAAGCAAATAAGATATTAAATAAATATTAATATATAAAAAAAACTTAATTATATTAAGAAAAAGTATTCATTAAATAAAAAACTTTTAATATATTATTTTAATAAAAAATTAATATTTAGATTTAATATAATAAATATTAAAATAAATAAATTTTAATAAAAAAATATTTTCTAATAAATATTATAATAAATATAGAAAATTAGATTGTAATTCAAGAATTTATCAAAATAATATAATAAATCCTAAATTATTAGATTTTTAATAATTTCAATTAATTGATATAATAGTTATTAAATAATTTGTATTTGAAAGTATAAATTGAGATAAAAGTAATCTATATATTGATATAGTCTATATACTAATAAATTATATTAGTATATATACTAATAAACTACGTTATAACATGGTTTATCAGCATATGGGCTATATCACCATATAGGCCACTTTCATCTCAATTTATACTTTCAAACCCATATTATTTAATAACAATTGAATCAATTGATTAAAACTATTAAGAATCTAATAATCTAGGATTTATTATATTATTTTGATAAGTTCTTGTATTATGCTTTGTTTTTTTGTATTTATTATAATATCGATTAAAAGATGATTCCCTATTAGAATTCCCTTCTTTTTAATGTTTATTGTATTAAATCTGAATATCAATCTTTTGCTGAGATAATATATCAAAAGCTTTTTATTCAATGAGTATTCTTTTTTGATGTAATTGGGTTTTTTTTGTGTGTTGATATTTACTTAATATTTTATTTGCTTTTTGAAGTGTATAAATTTCTATAATTAAAAGTGTGTTTTTATAAGCTAATCTTTTTGTATTTTTAATTAGAATTAATATAATCTCAAATATAGGTATAGGGAAATTTGTTTGATGATAAGTTATTTGAGATTTAATTAATATTGATTAAGAAAGAGTTTTAATTGGATTATAAGGTATTTAAGAGATCTATTGATTTAGATTGAAAGAGGAGAGGGTAGATATACAAATTTGAATATCTAATTTCGAAAATACAATTTCAGGATTAAATAGAATTAAACTTGTTTTTTGAAATTCTGATTTTATATTCTAAGAAATGATTAATTCCTTATATATAATTTTAAAAGTTATAAAGAATTCAATCTTCGAAATATAATTGATATATACTTTAATAAATCCATTAATTTGATTATTATATAAACATTTTAGATTACTAAAATAATTAATATTAAGTAATTGAATTAAATAATTTGAATATAATAATAAATGTAAATATATAATATCATTCTTTTTATAATATATTTGAAAAGCTATTAATTTGTGGTTTTTATATTTATTTAATATTAATATTTGATATTTGCTCTTTTTTCGATTCTTAATATGCTTATTGAAGTATTTCAATTATTCTAAATCTGTTTTATTGTTTGTTCATTTATTAGATATAGGTTTAATAGCTTATTCTATAGAAAGATTTGTTTTAATATACTAATTAAAGAAATAAATTTATTCTTGAATTATTAGAAATAAGGGAATAGTTTTATTCTCTCTATTTCCGTATATTATTGTTATAGCTTATTCTCGATTGTTTAATTATATTAATTTATTTCTATTATGTTTCTTAATATTAATAATAATTATTGCTATATATATAATCCTTATTATAAAGCCTATTTTATTAAAATTATAGAAATCTCTATTCAAAATGCT